TTAACATTCGAAGATAGAACTTTAGAAAATTACGATTTGGATGAATTTAATTTCATTTAACGTAAAAGACAGAGCCACAGGCTCTGTAGTCTCTTTGTAATTAACTAATGTTAATTGATGTTATTTCTATCCATTTCTTCAAAACATTAATTTATCGATGTAGTTTATTGTAAGATGCACAGATTTACGAGATGTTTAAAGTAATTAATTTACTTCTTAGAGGTTCACAAGAAGAAGATTACAATATGATGCACGTGCAAAAATGAGTATATTTTTAATTCATTATCTACGCCTTCAGAATATTGGATAATTGTAATGAATTTTTTCTGGCTGTTTGAATTTAAACATTCGTGTGTTATTCGATTTGGTAAAGTTTCGACGGTAAATTAATCCGAAGCCACCGATGAAAATGCTTGATAAAAATTCTGTTTCGCACGAAATTTTTCATCTTTGTCCTACTTTTCACAATTCCGATTAATTATTCGTAATCTCTCTCTGCGTAAGAAAGCGCAACGTAAAATTCATTATTGCAGAATTAACTAGTTAATTTTCTGTTTAACAATTAATTTTTTCGATCGTTTCACTTCTTCTTCAAATTCGGATCACAGACGATCGATATAATTTCGTTGTTCGGCAAAAGACACATTATTTATTAGCATGGCATTGTTATTTATCGATTGTCCGAGAAAGAAAAGTGTCGCTTGGGAAACTTTTCCATATTCGAAAATAGCATTCCCAGGAGCGAGTGGGGAACTCCTTAAGTTTCGCGATAAGTTTAAAGTAGAGTTCGGCACCGTGGCTAAATCAACTTTATAATTCATGACATAATTTTTTGCAGCTTTCGAAAGTTACGCTCGCCCGAACACGGCTTTAGCCGCGTCAGTGGCTAGTTCAATTATGAGTCACTTAACTTTCCATCGCTTATCATATCCGTGAATTTAGTTATCCCGCGTCTTGAATATGTTACGCCGCCGGGAATAATATCGACGTTTTTAATTGACAAAAACCACCGAACGAAACACGCGCGGGAAATTGCAGGTTATCGGTTATTGATTGCTCCGCTGTCACGAAATCTGACTTTCACAGCTAACAGATTTCATTACGAGAAGTAAGAGATAAGTTAAATTTCACTCTTCCCTGCGTCTCTAAAATAAAAGTTTCAAAATGAACCTTCCGCTAAATCTGTAAAAGTGCAGGTTGATTACGTTGGCTCAATTCTAACTTTGTTGCAAAAATAATTCGAATTTTTGTGATACATTCGAGAAATTTCATTACGAATTTACAAGTCGATCATTTTGATTACTTTTACGACAGCGTTAGAGAAATGAGGTTTCCATAATTTAATGGAGTTCGTCGAAGACGATATGAAAAATGAAGCGGAGATTAAATTTCAAATTCTGAATATCTGGAGAACCTGCATGATACGAGAGAAAACGAAAATCTCGATCTAGGCTGCTAAAAATAATTTGAATCAGAGAGGTGCAAATCTATAAAATTTTTATGAAAACAATTTCATTTGCAATTTTCAGCGATTATAAAAAAAATATATCCAATATATTGTCTATAAAAGAAATTTCGAAGAAAATTTCTTGAAATTTTGACAAATTATGACAAAATTAATACTTGACCGGTATTAATATCCCAAAAAATGTACAAGCAATCGTAGTGCAATCACAACGAGTAACTTAATCGCGAATCGAGAGATCGTAGACTTCGAAAAGGGACGATATATAAATATGGTAATATCTTGACGAACGAAGGAGAACGTGATGATTCACGAAAACGAGAGAGAAAGCCAGGTGGCGCAGATGCACGCAGATATTCCGACAAATTCGCATCGCAAATTCGCAAAACAAGCCCGGCTAAATGACAAACGCTAATGCGAAACGATGCCTCAATTAAACGGCACTATGCAAATCGCATTTTCCTAGTGAGCGGCCGTCGCGTGTCCCACGTGCGCTTATGCGCGTACGTGGCCCTGGAACGACCGATGAATCCCCCCTTTCCCACCTATCGGCCAACAAATGGATATGCAGATTCCGTCAATTAATCGAATGATCATTTTTTCTCGCTCCGAAATTCGCCCTAGAAAATACGCCAGCGACCCCGCCGGGAATATTAATAGTCCTTTCGCTCGAAAAACACGCCGTCTGCCCGAGCCTACGCGCAGTCGAATTCGCCTCGTAATTGATAATGAAATCGGTGAATTTCATAATTCTCAGCTTCTACGTCGGCTTTTAAATCCGCGGTATTTTAAAACTCTCACGCACATTCTGAAATTCTCTCGGCGTGTGCGGTGTAAAAATTGACTGGCTTTCAAGGTTTGAGGTTTCGAAGGGCTCGAATTCGAAGAAGATTCTGAAATTTGGATTTCTGATCTTTTAATCTCGAAGCTTTCGGTTTTAGTTCTCAAGCAAGATGAAGAGTTTCGCTTTATTCAAGAAATCGAGATGGGGAATTTGAAATGTAAAATTTCCAATAGAAAATTGAAAGGATAGTTTCTGAAGACTGACCGGTTCCTTGAATTTTGTACGTGCTCGAAATGCGCGAGTATGTAAAGAGGGAACCTTATAGAGGTAACTTGAACTCGAAAGGATGGCAACTCTGAAATTTTGACGTGATATTCGACACTCTCGTGGCATTGGTATATACATCAACCTCTTACTGAAAAGCAAACGGGAATTCAATTTAATTCTTCTAATATTATATGAATTTCATCTTGTAGCAGTAAGATTTTACTTCGTTTCCGAGTAAAATCTTTTTTTTTTCTTTTTTAACATCAAATAGAACTTGATGAAAATTTTTCAATTTTGCGCGTAATTTTGGAACTGTTCTGTTAATTTTTAGATTTCGTGTTTTTCTGTAATTATAGATTTCAATGGTCCACATTAGATCGGATAAATTCCTCCGCGAATTTCAAGGGGAAGGCATTTATTAGAAAACCGGGAACAATGCATCCTCTCTAAAGTCTTCTCTCAACCATTCCTTTGTCTAGCATTCCAACTCCTTACTCCTCATAAATCTTCACCATCTTCATTTCTACAGTATCGTGCCAATTACGAGAATTATGTCGAAATGAAATTTTAACATCTCTCCATCGTTAAACTGAATCGGTCTATCGTACCTAGAGAGCCAATAAATCGAGAAAAAAAACTAATCGGGCATCGCTTGCTTTGTTGCAAGCTGAAATTTTTCATTTTTAATAATATTTCTGTTTGATTAAATCCTAAAATTGATATTAAAACTTGTATTTTCTGTATTAAATAATCCATATATTCCAAGCGTGCATTATTTTACAAAGAAAAATATTTAAAAACTTGAAAAATTTTAATCCCTAATTTCTCTTGAAAGTGTGTATATATGTTAATAACATGAGACACATTGAATTAAAAGATTCCAATTCAGAAGAAATTTAACAAGTTTTTACTTCTTTATGAATATTTGATTAGAGCAACAGAGCCTTGATTAAAGCAATGTTTAATATGTATAATAACCGAAACCAAAAAAAATTGTCTTTGAAAGAAGTACTAAATATATTTTCGCAGATATTATGAAAAATTTTACGTGTACGTGGAATAATATAATTATATCACACGTTCACGTTGTGACAGTCTAATAACATTTAATTTGCCTTCCTGTTTTCCAACAGCATGGAACAAAATATTACAATGCTACAAAGGTCCCCACGATGACAAGAAAGCTAGTTTTCACATCACTATTAGAGGTGTGCGAGAACGAAATATCGGGTCGGGTCGAGAATACAAAATTTTTTTCTGGATCGGGACATGTACTCGAAAATTTCGAGATTCCCGAAAGAATTGAGATTTGAGAAAGAATTGGGTTTAAATAATACAAGTTTAAATGATTCGTTAAAGCCGACGCCTTCAACTATATCGAAAAGATCTAGAATTATCGTTCGAGCAATTCCTTTTGTTATATCTTTTGGTTTAACAATCTTTCGCGTATCATTTTGTACATGCGATGAATTTTATATCGATTCAGTTTCTTTTCCAGTACATGTACTTATGTTTGGATGCATATGCTTCAAATGGCGTAATAAACCAGTAGTATTTGCATACATAGTTTTAAATTCATGGTGACAATGTGTGCATTCCGCCTTTGTATCATTCTGTTTCTGAAAATGTTCCCAAACAGAGCTTCTCTTTACCTTCTTCCTTTGCACGATATCTTCTGCACTACTTCCTGCTACCACAACTTTACTCTCACTATCACTCGACATTATTTTAAAAAAATTTTAATCTCTGTTAAATTCACACAAATTTTGAAATATACGTCTGAGCTTTCCGAGTTTCTCAGTGATACTGCTCAACAGCGTACATAATGTCCAAGTACTAAGCACGCAGTCACACGTTCGTTTACATCAGATCACACGATTCTTAGAATCCGTGTTTCCAATAACTTCACTGGCAAAAGAAATTGAACTGTGTATTTACATATTTTGTAGGCTGCTATACAGCACTGTAGAGTAGTTCGAGAAACGGTAGCCGGGTTCTCGAAATTTTCGGGAACTGGACTCGATCCGACTCGTCCTGACCATCGGGTTCCCGATATTTTCGGGTTCTCGCACAGCCCTAACCACCATGTTTCACGTGAAAATTATTTCTGACACAATGTTCTTAAAACATAACAAGAGGAATTTAGGTAGTCTCTTTTAGCCGTTTCTTCCTGTATAATTGTCTGCGCCAGAGATAGTTTTACCTCGGTAAAGCGGAACGCAGCAGCAAACCGGATTCGTTTTCCAAATAAAAATTCTCTCACAAAAAACGATCTTTTCCTACGTCTGAAAAACAGTTTCTTTGAAAACATCCGGTGTATTTTTTCATCCAAAATAAGTGAATTCTATTCCTGCGTTTCATATTAAAAATGTAATTCACCAACGGCAGCCTGACGCAGAGCTTCCGAAATGCATTAATTTCTAATCGTATTATACTTTCAGAGATTTTTAATTACCAATCGTACTTTAATCAAGCGTATTTTCTTTAATTCTGAAGGTCAAAAAATTTTTATTAACGTATTAGAAATACATTAGAATTTCGTTGTTAACGAAATTTAATAAAAAGTTATCGATTCCCGTAAGCTGTTGAAAAGTGAAGAATAAAGAAAATTCTCCTCGAGTCTCAATTTTTATACAGAAAACAAATTCTACTTTCTGAATTACGTACGTATTACAAACGTATGGATTAAATAATTTTGCAGCAATTTTCTCTTATACTATTCCGAAGGAACAATTCAACAGTAGTTCGAAATAATTCGAGATAATTCTAAACAACAGGAATTCTCCTTTCGTCAGAAATTTTTAATCATAGATCTTCAAAGTAGATCGTTCTCTGTTAGCATGCTCCGGGGCATGCGACTATTTTCGCGGCGGGCAACGATTTTTCGATTTCGTTTCCATTGAGCGGCACAGTCTTTCAATTGAATGGCAATGGTGGATGGCCGTGTCGCGTCGTTTCCTCTTCGTTCGTGGATTTTCATTCTGCCGGTTTCAATTTCGATATTGGGCGATGTCGGATTGGTTTCACGAACCGTCCACATAATCCATTGAAACCCCTCGATCGTTACACGCCATTAGCACTCGTATAATTTATTTAACTTCGGCCCCAGCGAAAGAGACAAAATTCATTTTGACTCGTTCTACATTTTGTTCGTAATTTCGAGCATGCAGCCTCATCGTCGATTTGACGAATTCGTAATTACAAAGTATATCGATTTTCGAATGAGATATACTACGTTTCTAAATTTCTGGTTGAGTGAGTCAAATGTATTCTATATTTGTGTCACAATTCTTATACGTCACGATACTCGCGAGGAAACTTACATTTAAAAAAAGAGTTTCGTTCGAAATAGATGTAACATAAAGCACAACTTGAAAATATAATTTAATATACAGAATGAGACACTTTGCCAACCAGTGTGAAGCAGTCATTTATTGTGTACCAAGTTAAAACACGACTCAATTTCATTACAAAATTCCAACAGAAAGATGCTTCTAAATCATTCTAAACACAACTCCCCGAAAAATCTTCAATCCTCACGCTCGTCCGTCATTCGTTAAACAAAATTTCTAAATGAAAAAAGAGAATGGAAAGCAACGAAGAAAAATCGGAAGTTAACCGAGTTGTTAAGGAGGGCGTCGCGTGGGTGTCGCGTCGTCTCGGCGAGATCCACGTTCAATCCGTCGAGGATTCTGGCCGTATTGACGAAGAACGAGCGTGTCGGCGAGCATACGCGAGACGTATGATCCGCTTAGGGAGATGACGCGGCGTTTTCATGTCTCGAAGGATTCGCGCGCGACTCAGACGAATAACGATGGCGCGGCGCGGCGCGACGCGTTGTCGCCGCCCTTGGATCGGCGCGCACGTGCATCGACATCCACCATCAGGCCGGATGCACGCTGCTGGACTTTTGCCACTTTCTCCCCGATGTATTCAGCTCGCTGCGAAATTGAATTCGTGCACCCGCCCCCCTCGACTCCTACCTCGGATATTTTATTAGCTCCCGTATATATATATATCTCGACAGAGGCTTGAAAGGGTTGCGGACAACGACGATCGAATAGAAATAAAAGTCTTTGGTAAATCTTTGGCGGTTATTTCGTTGTTGATGAAATGGAAAAATTATTAACATGGGCTTCAACGATTGTAGATTCTACTTTTTAAATTATATCTCCGATATTTTATTAGCTCCCCGACAAAGGCCTGAAAGGGTTGCGGCCAACGACGATCGAATAGAAATAGAAATCTTTGGTAAATCTTTGGCCAATATTGTCCGGGACGCGGTTATTATTTAGTTGTTAATGGAATGGACAAATTATTAATACGAACCTCAACGTTTGTAGATTCTACTTTTTAAATTATATCTCGGATATTTTATTATACCGCGTGTATACACCCTGACAGAGGCTTGAAAGGGTTGCGGCCAACGACGATCGAATAGAAATAAAAATCATTGGTAAATCTTTGGCGGTTATTTCGTTGTTGATGAAATGGAAAAGTTATTAACACGGGCTTCAACGATTGTAGATTCTACTTTTTAAATTATATCTCCGATATTTTATTAGCTCCCGTGTATACACCCGGACAGAGGCTTCAAATGGTTGCGGCCAACGACGATCGAATAGAAATAAAAATCATTGGTAAATATTGTCCGGGACGCGGTTATTTCGTTGTTGATGCAATGAACAAATTATTAGCAGAAGTATCAACGTTCGTAGTCTACTTTTTAAATTATATTTCGGATATTTTATTAGCCACCGTGTATATATCTCGACAGAGGCTTAAAAGGGTTGCGGACAACGACGATCGAATAGAAATAAAAATCTTTGGTAAATCTTTGGCGGTTATTTCGTTGTTGATGAAATGGAAAAATTATTAACACGGGCTTCAACGATTGTAGATTCTACTTTTTAAATTATATCTCGGATATTTTATTATACCGCGTGTATACACCCCGACAGAGGCTTGAAAGGGTTGCGGCCAACGACGATCGAATAGAAATAGAAATCTTTGGTAAATCTTTGGCCAATATTGTCCGGGACGCGGTTATTATTTAGTTGTTAATGGAATGGACAAATTATTAATACGAATCTCAACGTTTGTAGATTCTACTTTTTAAATTATATGTCGGATATTTCATTATACCGCGTGTATACACCCCGACAGAGGCTTGAAAGGGTTGCGGCCAACGACGATCGAATAGAAATAGAAATCTTTGGTAAATCTTTGGCCAATATTGTCCGGGACGCGGTTATTATTTAGTTGTTAATGGAATGGACAAATTATTAATACGAATCTCAACGTTTGTAGATTCTACTTTTTAAATTATATCTCGGATATTTTATTATACCGCGTGTATACACCCTGACAGAGGCTTGAAAGGGTTGCGGCCAACGACGATCGAATAGAAATAGAAATCTTTGGTAAATCGTTGGCCAATATTGTCCGGGACGCGGTTATTTCGTTGTTGATGCAATGAACAAATTATTAGCAGGAGTATCAACGTTCGTAGTCTACTTTTTAAATTATATTTCGGATATTTTATTAGCCCCCGTGTATATATCTCGACAGAGGCTTGAAAGGGTTGCGGACAACGACGATCGAATAGAAATAAAAATCTTTGGTAAATCTTTGGCGGTTATTTCGTTGTTGATGGAATGGGCAAATTATTAACACGAGCCTCAACGTTTGTAGATTCTACTTTTTAAATTATATCTTTTCCAATATAATCTTAATTGCGTGTGAAATTATTTGTCTACATAGTTTATTTGTAAATTAAAGAGACGAAATATTTAATAATAGAAAAGAATTTGTTTACTGTTATTCAACAATATTCAATAAAAGAAAGATCTGTGAAAATAAATTCGCTTGGAAAGTTGAAAATGCTAGTTTAAAAATTTTTTTCTCAAGCATGTGAAAATCTATATTCCACAATGTCGAGTGACCATCGTAATTAATTTAGATAGAAGTTCGGAGCTTTAATATAACTTCGAATTTCTTTAGGATGTTTTAGGATGAATTGTAAAACGTGTACAACGCGAAACTTGTCTTCATTAATATTTTTACTCGAGCTCTGAGATAAGTGAAGTAATAAGTTGCGTAATACGAACTTTGAAAAATTCCATACTAATTGCAAAAGTATTGAAGAATACCTATAGTAGTGACGTCGATACAGAGGAATCGATGCTCCGGCGATTAAGTTAATTAAAATTTGTTGAACCTTGTTAATATTCATATCGAATTTATGTTGGAATTAATTCATGATATCCAATAATTGCTCAAATCCAATAATTTATATTGTTAAATGGTTCAATATTTATTAACGTGTTTAATATACATAGGTATCTCCCAATAACACGTTCACTAAAATATTTTATAACACTGTTTTGGATAAAGTCTTTCCAAAATCTTCACATTCACGTAGGAAAATTACTGTTTATGGTAATAACATCGTGACAACGATGACAGTGACTCTCATTAAGGAACAATAAAACGATAATCAACCATCAAATTTGCATTAATTTTATATACACTGTGCATGTACACACTTTATACAAAATTAATGCAACTCGTTCAAACTTCATCTTTATCAGGTTTCTAGTATCTCATACGAAAAACTACTGCATTAAGTGAATCAAATTTATGTATCTGCTAATTATAAATTTAATAATCATTGCAATGTATTAATTCAAGACCTTCTGTAAAGAATTTCGTTTACCCCAAAGAAGAAAAGATTTCTCTCCGATCTCCAACGTCTGAAGACGCACTAACATCGCTCACTATTTTTGATATATTCTGTCTCACGATTCAAAATACCAAATGATTTATTTACAACTGTTACAATTGTTATTACGTACGTACATGTTCCAAGTTACAGGATTAAATAAGAGTCACTGTGTTGAAACCTCGCGTAGAATGGAATTTCACTCGTCGTAGCCTGATTCAAACGAAATCAAACGAAGTCAAACATCGTATCTCGTTCCCGTCGAAATATATTCGACCCGTCATCGATCTAGTTCGTCGTTTGGCCGACGATCATCGAGTAATCAGGGTGGCACGAAGTCGACAACTGCGTTTCAAACCTGGCTCGCCTATAAACTGTGGTCGATGGTCACCATAATCCGGGAACGGTCGTAAATAAACAACGCGCGCGACCTGGGGAAACGTGCTTGGAGGAAGCATGTAACCGGTTAGGTGGGTCGCCATTCTAGTTCACGCTCGGCACCCTCGTTTCATCCCCTTTCACTCGGCTACCTTCGCCTCGCGATAAATGGGCTAACAGGCATTTGCAATGGTAACGACGACGTTTCGCGGTTTCTAAAAGCGCCCAGTGAACGCGTGACCCGCGTTCCCCCTTGGCCTCAGAGTCTCTCAAACTGTTTCATTGAAATTCTATCAACATCGCTCACAAACATCTTCTTCCCAAGTTTTGTCAATCCGACGCGTCGCTTGACCTGATTTCTCTTCAGTTTATTCGTCCGCGTTTGATCGCGATTCGTGCGCGATTTGCAGTTGCAAACTGACTGATAAATTGTGGACAATTTGACACACTCTTGTGTTACGTAATTGAAAAGGAAATTGAATATTTGAACAGTGTGATTATTCATTGTAATAATTATTGTTGATTAATTAATTTCTAAACAGCACAATTAAACTTTGAATATTGAAGTTAGCTTCACCAGATAAGAAAGAGCATTTCCATTTCGGTATATTATTATTTAGATATACACAAAATAGTCTATTATCTATTCGTAATTCAATTGCAATGCAATAAGTATCGCACTTTGGATTTTTATGTACTTTCGTGTATCGTAAAATGTAAGAAATCTTCAAAGAATTTTGAAACATCAGCAAAACATTTTGCACTGATAATAAAAATATTATCACCGTTGAAATACGATGCAACAAGATTTTCTTGAATCTCGGAAAAATTAATTACATTGTCCAATTGTTGCAAACAAAATAATCAAACTTCTCGTACAAAGTTCCAACGTTTGCAACACTTTGGAAAATAACATTGATCCAAGTTCCAAGTCACACGGGGCAATTTAATGCATGAGAAACAATCGTCGTCAATCAACATCAAACACCTGAATCTCCCAATTTAAAACTCGCCGTCATTTCCTTTCCAATATTGCAAATTGCACGACGACCAAAGCTTCGCGTCACATTCGAACGTTAAATCTAAATAAAACAATGCTAATCACCAGAGATCGCTCGACAGCATTCGAATTTGGCAGCCACGGGAAACATAATCGAGCGGTTCGAACGAACAGTTTGAGAAACACTGAGACCTACATAGAGGGAATGGTCGGAATGCTATGAAACGTGCTTGACAATCATTGTATGGAGAGTCATGAACCGTTCCTAGAGCCACTAAAAGAGAAAATGGCGTTTCAACTGCTCTCTGCTCTTTGCCATGCGGACCGCGCCGCGCGATTCAAACGCCAGTTCTGTTTAAATTTCCGCGCTGGTAGCGCGTCATTCGATAAGGTCAGCCATTACAAACCCCCGTCCTTCGATCGTACCACTTTGAAATTTCTCCATACAACGGCAACAACACAATGCTTGCCACGTGCATTTCCGAAATCGTTCACCCTAAATACATCCTCCATTCGACGAGCTCTTTTCTTTTCAACTTTTTGCTTCTCTCTTAGATCTTAGAGATCGTATTCGACGAATTAAATTCTTTCTTTCTGCGCCAGTGTTTAGCGTCGAATAATTGGTATAGAACAATTTAGATATATATTTGCGTATTAAATTTTCTTTCATTCTATTCAAAGTTCTCTTTCTCTTAGATCTCGGAGATGTGTTCGAAGATTTATCAATTTTATTCTCAATGTTGTAACTTTGTTCGTGATATAATTGAAATTTATATTAATGTCAATTAATATTATCATCATCCGCGACGATAGCTGTTGTTATTACCGAATCTACGCAGGATAGAATTTTATTGATTGATTCGTTCCTGTCCGTGATGTTTGTAACCCTTTATGTTTGATGCAATATCACGGTCGAACGACTATCGTAGATGAGACATTATGGGCGAGGTAGAACGTCGATTATCGGAAATAATAGAGGGATAAACCGTTTCTTGTAATTGCTTTCCTGTCTGACAGATTTGATAGACGAAGAAACGTTGGAAATACCCAATGAAAAGATGTAGAAGGTCACGTTCTTTTTATTTTTTTTTTTTATTAAAATAATTTTTATTAAAATTTATTTAAATCTATTTGAATAATACGTTTTTTTAGATAGACCAACGACACATAGAGTGGAAAATTATTTTTAAAAATTTAAATTGACAGCGTGGCAGGAGTGAAGCAACATCGATACACCCAAACTGATCACAGTGTAATCCGTCACATAAAGGAGAGTAATGCTGTGGTTTACGCTAATTTCCGAAGTATAAACAGCTTTGAACGAGAGTTACGCGGTTACGAATGTATCTCGTTTAAATCGCTCCTGTTTTCAATGATCAGTTGATTAATATTGACTGATTAATATTTACCTAATCGCGATTATGAAACTGTTCAATTTCATAATTGTTATTTGTTATTATGAAATTGTTAACAAAAAATTAAGAGGAAAAAAGAAATCAGTTAAGAAGTTAAGTTCGAAAGTTGCCTCGAACGTACAGACTGTTAAAATCTGCGACAAACCGCGCGATTCAACAAAATGATTTCAAAGTTTCAAAGTTTCTCGATCAGTAATATAATAATATTTTCTACACTAACAGCAATAACAATAATAAAAAAGAAAGAGAGAAATTATGTTCTATCTCTCCCTAAAAATAATAAAAATCGATCCAAAGAGAAAGTTCAGAATTATACAAAATTAAATTTCTCCCCTATTTATTTAAAGAGCAATAATTACAAAGGAGAGCCAAACATCAAGAGAACGAACGAAATTTTCCTTTGACAAAAATCTCCATCCACCCGAAGGAAAACAATTTGATGAAAAAAAAAAAAAAGAGAAATTAATCCATTAAAACATTCGCGTCAAACACAAAGGGTTAACAATGCTCATGACACACGAGCCGATTCGTTCGTTAACACTGTCGGAGGAAAAACGAGCGAGCCAATTCCCCCCGGTGTTATTTCTCTCTTCCATGTACGAATGTTACGTAGCTTATCGACGTCGCCCGGACGTCGGTATGTTCTTATTTTTCATAACGTAGTAATGCAGATGGAATAATACTCACGAGATGAGAGTCCCTGGTGGTGAAGGTGATTGGGTCCGAGGCTCTCGGTTCTCGACAATGGAACTCCATTTTGCCCCAGGCGGCCGCGCCCGCGGCTCCGCTCCTGGCCGCGTCGATCAGCTCCATTTTCACCCCCTCCGCCACGAATTCTACCTGTAAAGAGGATGGAAAAACATTTTCATTACATCGGAGGCCGGGCTATCTGGATCGCGACGGATGCTGTTGTAACCGGATTTTAATATCACGATGCGAGGCCTTCGGGGAGAACAAACCGGGCTGAATTTGGGAGACACTGTCGTTCGAGCATTATCGATCTGGAAAAAATGTGTGTGTGTGTGTGTGTGTTTGTGTGTGTGTGGCTGCGTGCATTCCAAGCGGACGACAACGCGAATCGTTGTGTGTTGAAGTTGAAACGTAGCTCACTCGATATTAGATCACGGACGTTGTTTGTTAATATCTGATCATCGCGTTTCGGGGATATATTTCGTAACGAGATCCAAGAGTTTGAACTTGGAACAGATTAATGGATCCTTTTTCTATTTCCACTGATCGTGATCGAACTGTTTCCATTTGTTGTAAATAACATTTCAAGATATTGAGAAGATATTGAGAAATGGACACGTGAAATGGTTTATTGGTGGAAGATACAATAAATTCTTGTGTAAGAACAATTTTTCAATTGGACTACTGCCAAATATTAGAACTACTTGATGAAAGATATCATGAGTTACATAGTTTTATAATAGAACATGTTAGTTTTATATTGAATTTTAAAAAATTAAGGATTAATATACATTTTTTCACCCCCTTTTCTGATTATTTTAGAAAGTATTAATAGCATTAATTTCTAACTAGGGCTAATTACTGGGAACCACAGAAATTTAGAGTTTTAAATTAATTAACTTTGAAATTACTAATTTAATTTCTATCTAAATAATACTAAATTTTAGTAATCTAATAAAAATTGGTACAGTCATAATTATACTACTTGAGTAGGTTAAATACGATCATAAAATTGTAATATCTATCAATATGTTTGGGAAAGTTACAAATTTTACCAAAAATATTACATAAATTGTTACACTGTAATATTATAATTGCTATTCAAAACAGTAACTAGTTAAAAAAAAAGTACACATTATCAACAGCCAAACAAGCAACTCCTAAAAAAGTTGTCAAATTTCCACAATTCGTTTCTCCAACATTTCTATAAAGACGATATTAAAACCAAGAAAAAAAAAAAGAGATCCAAACCAAAATCAAATCAAAAACTATTTCATTTTGCGCGAATGTTTTCAACATTCCCCTTGTCACCGAGCATCGATGAAAAATCGAAGCTCTGCCGATGAACGGTAAACCGGAGAAAGTAATGGAGATTACGAACGAAAAATGACATAACAATAAGTGCACGGACAGAATCGCGAGCCGGATATCGCGCGTTATTTTTGTTCTGCTACGAATCTCGGGACAGGTGAACAGGACTAATTGAAAGATAAATCCAGTTACGAGATTATTAACGTACGCATTAACATAGTAATTACGTATTAGCCACGATTTATATCTTTTATCGATCGCGGAGAATCACGATTTAGTATCCACGGGAGAGAGGCGAAATGTTATTTATCAGGATGGTTAAAACCGCAGCGGATAGTTAAAATTCGGTCGTTTTTCCAACGGATTTACGGCCCACCTTTTTCATCCCTCGCATAAACAATGTAATCAAGTTAATTAATCGATCGGTCGCTTGTTGGACGTTAATAAAAAAAGAGAGAAAGAGAGAGGGAGAAAATGCTGAGGGAGATTATCGATTGATCGAACAACTGGAAGAGAGATAATTGCTTTCGTGCAACAAGATTGAATGTGTTGGCAATTTTTATCAATTTAATCGGTATGATGGACAGATTTGTGAAAAATGGCGTTTGTACGGAATGATAAAAAAAAAAGATAATTGAAGAATTTTGGGGGTGTGTGTGTGTGTGTGTATAAACTAATTTTTATATATGCATATAAATATATATATATATATATGTTACAGTGCTATTAATATTTCTTTCCTCAAGAAATATTAAAAATTGACAAAAAATTTAAAAAGATCAAATAGAGTCTTCATCTTTGTAACTATTTATTTTTCGTTCAATTTTCATAAATTTACAAGATTGACCTAACAACAAAATACTTCGCCATTCTCAATTATATATTTCTATATTTGTTTTTTCATTACGTTCTTATCCCTGTCGGGTTTTCAATTTCGTTTATATTATACTGAGACGCAACTTCGGATATGTTTATTCATGATACTTTACGAGCTTAAAATTCAACTAACAAAGACGAAACAGAGAAAGAATTAAATGTAACTTAATTAAAAGTGGAATTCGAGTCCTAAGTTTCGCACTCTGTTAAATGAATACAGAGTGAATAGCAGTTTCGTAAAACGTTCAAAATTCAAGATTCTCAGGCTCGTTATTTCACTCATCGTTATTTCCCATGACACTTCTAGCCACGTTCTCGCTCGAAACTCAGAACGAATATTATATTTGTTTTCAAAACTGAAAAATTGAAACAATACTTTACACGACGAATAATTTGTAAAATGTTTGTACGTTGACAATTGTATTGTAAGTTACATACACGATTTAAAAATTTTATTATCCGCGACAAATTGACTGAATATTAAAAATAAAAAAACGTCCTGAGACTTCTGAGTAGTTATAAATATATTCTAAAATCTTTTTTTTTTATGATTTCAATTTTTAAAACTGAAATTTCATCTTGTTAACGATCACCTTGAAGCTCGCTTTGCGGTTGTTTTTCGCCATCAGAGTTCGATAAAATATTGAAAAAGAAATCAGCAGGTCATTGTAAATGGAAAACTTTGGTTTTCAAGATCATTGCAAATCTAGCCAGGAAGAGACATGGATAAAGTTTAAATTCCGACTGATAAAAGTATTGATTCCGACGTAATAAAATATATAATATGTAGAAACATCTCCGAAAGAAGCCTGACACCTTAAAGTTGTCGAAGTAGAGGATTCTTGAAACGAGTTCAAGTGAGATCGTCACGTACGATTCTTTCCTCCCCCCTCACAAACTTAGAACAGTTCGAAATATCGGCGATCGTTCGCCAGCTATTGGCACAGTTTAGCTCCCCGCTGCATATTCAATTTAAGATATATACTCGAAGCTTTTAGCGGACGTTCACATTCAACATTATCTTGCCAAGTTCAAAGCGAATCCTTGATTCCGTCCGGGCAAGTATCTCTATGATGGCTCTATGATGGCTCTTTATGGCGGAAACGTAACGATCAAAGTGCTAAGACCTCATTAAGATTTCTGACAGACCTCTGACTGAATACGTGAACTTCGCCGAGCATTAACCGATGACGTTGGCTAGGTAAGGCGCCCGGAGCCAATGGTACGAGGGCATTGAAGGCCTTCAACCCTTAACCGAAACCGCGACACGCGGTATTATTCCAGTTTTGCTGGACTACCTGTTTAAATTCGACCGCGGAATATTGTAACGTGAATTCACGTCCGACTGCTCTCGAAACTGGAATTTCGTACGTGGAAACTACCGTCGCCGCGTGGAAAGTTGCTACGACGAATCGTACGTATTCTATGTACTTAGCTCCGGCGTGCGGATGTACCTCGATTATTTAAGTAGAGGAAGTTTCGTCATAACTTGAGGAATCCGTCGGATTTTATAACGACGATTTTGTATTTAACGAGCGGAGAGTTTGTGCCACGTGTTTGCGCGAGACGTGGAATTTAGATTCTTGTTTTTTTTTTTACAAGTTAGAAGATCGTAGAACCATCTTTCCACAGATAGTCGCGTTTTATTGTTAATCAAATTATATCTTTCATAATTTGAAACGAACTCACAATCAGTGTACTGCGGAATTTCTAAATTTGAAATTCAGTATGCTACAACATTCTGTAGAGAGTTTAAGAAATTTAGTAGAGTACCAAATTTCAGTGTAGTTGCGAAACATGCTCGGTCGAAACGTTGATAATGTTTGAGGCAGTTAGAAAAACAATAGAAAAAAACGTAGTTTTCGAGAAAACAGATCGTTAATAAATATGATGAATGTTTCGTATTTGCAAATTTTTTTACTATCTTTAACTTATACACGCGAAACAATCCGATAAAATAGATAGTAATCGGACATTTTGCAACAGGCTGACGAGGAAGATCTCGACAATCTTTCAGTTATTTTTAAGTTACAACAGAAAATTATATGTGAAATTACGATACAACCAAATGTTTTTCCAAAGTACATGGTGTCTCCGGTTCTTCGATTCTCCTCGAGACAAATTATCGATGATTTTCGCGTTTACTTCCGCGTCATTAAGCAAACAATACGATCCAACGAGGGAATTTCCCTGGAGAGATCGAACGTCAGTTTAAAATTCAGCGACGCCCGCGCAAAACGAAACTTCCGACGTTCGTTTGCAACAAACAAAAAAATTGGCGCACGTGGCTTTCCTTGCACGTTCGTGTATCGAACCCCGACTCATTATTTCAGTTTTTTATGAAAAAAAAAAAAAAACGAAAAAAAAGGAAAGAGTGGGAATTACCGTATAAATTTCCTGGACAAATGCACGCTCGCTTTAATATTGCACCTATTTTTTTCTCAATCTTCCGCTCCTCCTTCCATCTCGTGATATTTTTCGTTATCGCGCGTCTCGTCGTTTCTGAACTCACGTGGACGAAAATTCGGGACGAAAATTAGACTTGCTAAGCTATCGATAGTTGGAATAGAATTTGCTGTTTTTGAAATTGCTTGAAGATCTAAATTTTTGTTTGTTTGTTCGAAAAATTCTCAGAGTGTCTTATTTCGTTAAAAGTCGAATCAGAGGGTGGAATATTTCTTTGAAAATTAAAAATTCAAAATCTACGACATACCGTATACGATACCGTAGAAAATATAGTTCTATTTATTTCAATTTTTATAGATTTTCAATGTTTATGCTAGCTTTTAAAATTCGGCTGAAAAATAAATCAAAGGAAATGTCTCGTTAGTTAAATTAATATTTATACACTATACTTTTGCAATTTAACAGCTTTATCAACGTTCTAAAAGCTGAAGTAAATTATTATGACTCTTTTGTCCATTTCACTTTTTTTCTTAAAAATTGCTTCAGCACCCTCGTTCATCGTTTCAACTTGTCCATTCCGTAACAACTACTTTTTTTTTCTTCAATAACTCTGCCTGAAACGACTCTTATACTCTTACCCTCGACCCTTATAATCGTAGGTTTATATGTATACATATATATACATATATATAATTTAATATTCTATTAATTTAATTAAAAATTAAAATTAAGAAAAAAAAATTTTTTAAATTAAATTTTCTATTAATTTAACAAAAATTAATTAGTATAATTAATTTTTTTATTAAATATAAATAAATTAAATAATATAAAATTATAATTCCATTCAACATATATATAATAAATAATTATATATATATATTATAGGTTTACGTAGGTAAGGAAACGAAATTCTTGTTGCAACTTGGAGATAGTCGTCGATTAATAAATTTTCTTCATGACGGTATCGCGGGGCAGCAGCGTTTCCGAGTCGGCCGTATAATTAATTCCGTTTCTATAATAATTTCCGACGAAACTTGCGCCGAGTAATCGGCGTAGGGGGGAGTCTGCGGCGATTTCTACTTGCATAGCGCGCTAGTTAAGGGACAATATTCCAGACTATGACGGTCGCTTACATAGTTAACCTTCACATTCTTTTTAAACCTTTTTAAACTTTTTTCATCCATTCCTTATTTGTAGTTTATCGCTTCGTACATTTCTTTATTAGACTGACCCCTTGATTCGTTTCTTTCTTTTTTCTTTTTCTCCTCAGCCATCTGGTCACCGTGAATATTTCATCGCGTCGCAACGACCGGTCACAAGCTCAAATCCCGAATTAGATACTTTAATTTTTAACGAAAGGGCCTGACGCGAATGGAAACAAATATATTTGTAGTTAATTTTTCTTAGTCGCGAATGATTATCATTATACGACGAATCGAACTCTTTTAAATGGAATATATCTTTGCAATTTTAACGTTTCTTCTTGTTCTAGTGATAATGTTCTTTCTCATTTTTTAAAAGTACGATGGTGCAAAAGTGAGAATTTTGACAGTATTGCATTAATTTTATTAATGTAAAAGTTATGTTTCTAAATAGAATGTTGTGGAAATATGAATTTCAAACAATATTTCGTTTCATAGTATAAGAACAATTAGTAGTAATATTCTTTAAAGACTGCGAGTGTTAATATTTTCTGAATATACATATATTTCATTACGTTATGTTTTATTAAATATCTGATTTAAGTATATATTTTCTCTCAATTCTCAACGTCATCGAATTTCATTTTTTAAACTATCATATCTAGAGAACGGATAGAAATTCCAGACATTCACTTCACTTTCCTTCGTCGCTATTTGTTCCACTTAGATCCTACAAGTTTTAATATAACAATAACATAACAAACTGTTATAATAAATTTTATATTTCAAGAATCCCAACGGAACGTTTCATTTAAACGTCCGAAAGGAAAAGCAGCAACGTAGAAACTGCAAAAAACTCGTTGTGAAACAAAATGAAAATTAATTCAAAAAGCATGATGAAACAACATTTAAGCTTAGCGACGAAAAAACGGGAGAAGGAAACAAACGAAGCATTTAAGACGCTTTAAGATTAATAATTAACAAACGCGTTGAATGATACACACACACACACACACACACACACACACACACACACATATATATATTTTTTTTCGCAATTTTTGTATATTGGGATAATTACAATGGCGACGAAGCTTTACTGTTCGCCGAGGAGGGAAAAAGTTACAAAAGGAACGGGGTTAATGAATTAAAAGCAGCACCTCGGGCGGTTTGTCTGCTCGTTATCCAACAAACGGTCCCTTCTATCAGAACGAATTGTTCTTGAGATAACGCTGTTTTCAATTTAAACTGATACCTCTGACCTGTTCCTGTTACAACCCTGTTATTTCAACGGACAGTTTAAATAACGACGTTTGTAATTTTCGCGAGAAAAGTCAGGAATAGGGGAAAGAAATTAATTGTTGAAATCTGAATTGAAATTCTGGAACTTTCTGGATTTGGGGATATCTATCATAGTGTATCTGAAACTTTGTAAATGGCGAATTGTATGTGCATGTACGTTCACTGCTTTACTCTAGTCTGAGTGTCTGATTACGAGTGGCTAAATCTACTGGTTCTTTGATCGACACCTTTTCAAAAAATTTAATAGCAAATTTATGAATGTTATTACTTGTCAAATACTCCTCGATTATAATTAGTTAGTTAATATAGTATCTAATAATAATGAAACTTGATCCAACAAAATACTACTTTATAGTAATATTTCATCCTCTCGTAATTTTCCTATAAACTGTCTGTAATTTTAGTACAAGATAATAATTTCAATGAAGTATCATCTTCTCTGACTGTGAGGCGTATTTTTGAACCTTCAGTGCATTTTCTGCGTCAATGAACTCTCGAATGTACTTTTCGTTTCATAAATAGGAAAATAATGGCAAATTAAAAATTACTACTAATTAATTTAATCGCCAAATTAATCACCAAAAATTGTAGGTTTAAAATTAAATTTAAGCTTAAACTTTCTAAAATTGATCATAATTTACGTGATCCCTTTGCAACGAAACAACTCGTGGAATTACCTTCGTTCGTTTCTTCAAGATTGAATGTTGATCGTGTGTAATGAAATTAAGAAGCGTTTGACTGACCCGAGAGTTTGAAATGGCAGTGGGCAATAACTTGCTCAGTTACCGGCTCCCGATCGGCTAGCTACACCGGCTAAATAAATCGCGGGAGGTAAAGTGGATCACGTTGATCCTGCGAACGAACAGATCTCGCTTACCTTTCTCAGGCAGCCGACGAAGTTGATGATCCCCTTGGCGCCCTGCAAGGATCTCGCGTCGGCGCCACCGCCCACCAGCAGCCGATCGCTCGCCAAATGTGTGAACGAGCCCGCAGTGTGGCCGTGTTCCGCGTAAATCCCATCGACGATGGCGGACAGCTGCAACAAGCAATGGAGCCAAAGTTCGTCAGGACTTTCTCGAAAGTTAACGCTGCGTCAGAGGCTTAAAAGCCATCCCTCTCTCCTCACACACATACACACACACATACATACATTCATTCTCGTTCACTCTACGGGGTAATCTAGATTTTGGATTAAAGCGCGGCCAACACAGGCTGACACGAGTGGCGACGCGGTTCCACGCGATGGATTGAATCTCGTCGGTCGATGTCGGCTCTCGATCCGAAAAGAATTCGCCTGGACCGCGTGTACAGGTTCATTCTGGTCGAGTTTTCATGGCGTTTGTAAATGTGCATAGTTTTATCCATGCTGCAAAGGCCTATCTCCTATCCACAAATAATTCATTCTCAACTCGTAAATAACAGTTTACTACGGATTACCGTAAGACGAAAGTTTTAACAGTCAAATAGCAGATAACTTTGTAACTTTCTAACGTTCTCTTCGTTGTCTCCAAATCTTTCTTTTTTCTATGTTTTTATTTTCGGTGATTCGTATTAAATTCCAAGTTCTCTTCTAGAGGAAAATCCTATTGTTTCGACAGGTTCGTGAGACTCGATTCACGGGACGATCTTATCGCGTGATGGCGGACTTTCTGGGTCACCGTGAGTATTGAGAAGCAACGTGCTTCTTGTAGCGAGCCATCTCAGAAAAAAAAAAGAAAATATGAACGTCGTGTGTCAAGCGGCTATAGCCGTTTCTATACCGCGGTGAATCGCTTCGTGACAAACGACCATAATCACCCCTGGTAACGAAAGGGTTAAAATCGTGTCCCACTGCACGGAGTGCATCGATATTTCACCTAACGTTGCAGCTAACTGCAGCTAACTTCGCGAAGAACCGCCAGACATAATACTGATAATTGTGCCATCAGTGTGTTTTACGAGCTTTGATAAAGCCAGCGAAACGGCGGAACATTTTTCCAATAAAACTGGATTTCAACACGAATGCACTTTCATCCAGGAACGTGTGCATATGTATACATATATATATATACGCGCATTCTTTTTAGGATCTGACTGAACATTTCTCACAGACACGGCGCGATCGTAGAAATAGGCACACGTATTGGTCGAAAGTTTCGCATACAGAGGCAAACTTAGGTAGTATTTGAAACGAGAACGTGTTTCGTAGAAACCTCTGGCAGATATCAAAAATCGGTAATATTCAGAGATACCCTAAATTGAAAAATGAATATCGTCGATCGTATTCTCGATAAAACTCTCCTTTGTTGTCGGATAGAGTTGCGGCTCGGACGCTTGAACCGATTAAATTGCAAGTGCACGTTCCATCAAGATCAGGTGAGAATGCCCGCGTGTAAATAACAGACATCCCTGTACTCAGTTCAATCTTCAAGCTACCAAAATAACTCGTGCTCGAATCTCGGTGGGGTACGGGAAATTTTACACGTGTCGACCATCCTGGTCCTGCCCACGAACGAGATCTCGAACTGGGGTTGCGCGGGGAAACAGACAGGAGCGAAGTGGTTAGAAAGCCCTCGGGATCGCGGCACAATATCCGGTCCGGGCATCGAGCAACGGTAAACATCGTAATGCACCACTCGAGGCTGTGGCAGCCGCCCTTCGAGGAACCATCGCGCCTCAGAACGATCTCGCGAATCTCTTAACAAACTACACCCTCGCTCTTTCTCTCGTCTCCTTAATTTTATCACGCCTCTTCGTCTCTCGGAAGATTTGTTTGCGAAGAAGTGGCCAAGAGGAGGGAGAGGGAGGGAGGGAGGAGGGGGAGGGGAGGGAAGGGAAAGAGATAAGACCAGGAGGAATTATGAGGAGATTGCTGCTCGGCCGCTGGCCGAAGGGAAAGCATCCTCGAGAGCAGCCTAATTACCGAGAACCACCGTGGCTACGGCCGAGTGAGGAGGTCATGAACGTCCTTGGAAGAAGTCTCCCCCCCCCCCTCTCTCGACGAGAAGAAGAAGGCCGAAAAAGAAACGGAATAACCGGCGGGTAACGACTATCGACGCCTCGCCTTCAGCTCTTAATGGACTACTCGACGTTCCGCTCCCCCAGAAGAGAGACTCTTCGTCTAAATGCTAAACCTTATGGGAGGCTATCCGGGCTTTTCCTTCGTTGCTCCAATGAAAGAAGGCCTCGGGATAGAGGTAGTTAGAGGGTTTCACCGAGAGACAATGTATTGCTGCGATTTTTCTCACATTTGGCTGGTTTGTTTTCTATGACAAGCTGGACGAAGAGTCAATGAACATTCCTTCCTTTTTCTTATGGTTTTCATACAATTGGTTCTTTCTTAACGATTGTAGAATTAATCGGGAAAAATTGTAACGATTGTTTGTGACACAATTTGACAGAATTTTTGGCGGATCACTTTTTGTCAGAACGATAGTTAAATGGAAGGATAACATCGATCGCTTCTGATTCTTTGTCTAATCGTTCACAAAACTTCATTACCTTATCTTCTAATTAATTAGCTTGTTTTCAAGAGAATTGGTGTTCTTTTCTGTGCTTCTCTTTAAATTAAATTTTGTCAATTTACCAACAGAAAGGGGAACAGAAGCAATTCGACTGGCGACAAGCGGCCGAAGAATGATTTGAAATTCAAAATTCGTGCTGAAACATTCGCGCAGTTTCTACGCTTGCCTCAAGAATATTCCAAATGCGCGCCACAGAGAATCCCGACTCTCCCTGTTCTCGCTGAATCCCGAGGATTACCGTACATCCAGACCGGATTGATTGGCTTAATTAAAAAGTTCCACGCCGGTTTCGCCACGAGCCAGGATTTTCCGTTGGCTCTAAGCCGATATTACTCGCCACGCTCGCCGCTAACCTTCGACGCGATTAACCTCGTTGTTTAATTCCTTCCGCCGTGTGGAAAACAGTTACCGCAAAACGGCGAGCAGCGTTGTTTCGTTGTTCCCCTTGGATTTGGAAAATCCGTGGCTGGCGAATGTTCCTTTCGAAGTGACGGCGATCTTTCAAGATTCGAAAATATTGCGACAAGATGTTCAAGCGAAATCGTTCAACTTTCCGTGCATATAAACTATAATTACGCACGTAGATCCCTTGAAACTGCTCCAGATTTCGAAAGAATCAGAAAAATTTCTCTCAATCAATTTCAAGCGATTCTTCGAACAATAGAAAACTAAAAGTATGTCAGTGGAAGTGCAAACTCCTCGAATTCCGTCGAAGAAATTTTCAAAGTTCACGAAACGTGTACAAGCGCAAGTGATTTTATACTGATCGTTTTGAGATACTTTCACTTTTGTCCTCTCTGCGAAGTGTTGCGCGCAATAATATTTATTGACAACGACGACAAACCCAACGAATGACAATTCCGCGGGGACAGGCGCTCGCCGCGAAAGTTGCCGGTGGAAAACAAAATTGGGACACGCGAACGTTAGATGGAACATCGAAGTTTATTTTAGAGGCCAATCGAAATTCGCTGTTGGCCGCTGGAGTGCCGTTGGAAGTCGACTTGTTTCCAGGGTCGCGGTGCTTTCAAACTGCCGCACAATTAAAACTTACACGTGCCACAATCAGCGCACGGCACCGGTCTAGAGCAGCCCTTGTCTAGAAACTTGGGAATATTATAGCCCGGTACAGACGACCAGAGATCTTCCGAAGTCGAAGTTCCCAGCGAGATAAGCGCAATCAACGAGCCTGTTCCTTTTATAATTACACGCCACCGTAACGACTTCGATTTTCGAGCAATATCCAAGACTTTACAACCTGCCGCCGCGGAACAGAGATAACGAGAAGTTCCAGAGATCGTTTGTTTCTTTGTATTTCATTTTCTCTGGCACGAGCGATCGGGAAAGTTTTCGATATCTCCTTTATTTAATTGTTTCCATTGTAATATAAATTCTAACTTTATTTCCATTTTATTTAATTTCGTGACATTTGGTTTTTGAAAACTACATTTTTCACTCGTATGTAGTGCATTTAATTTCTAATTTTTCTCGGCAAGTTGAAGCTTCTGTAGTTGCGCGAATGAAAATATTTTTTAAACACTGATAAAGTTATTCCTCCTTGGAAACAGTTTCTTAACAAACTGAAAATGCGTTCTTCAATATATGTGCGAACTTTTGATAAAATATTGATCAGAAAGTTCTTTAAGCTTCCAGAGTCTATTAATTTTCTCAGATGAAACGGATGAGAAATTCTGTAAAAAAATCTGCCAGCGAACAAACTCTAGACACCCCGCCTTATAAACCTTTCAAGTACAATGCTACAAATATCGTAGACTTGACATCGAGAGCTCTTCGTTTCGTATGGCGAAGCAACCGAGATCTTCTGGCTAACGATCGATGATGAAAGTTCATCCAACGCGGTGCTAGTCGGCGGAAGAAATTCTCGGGGAGGGAAAATGGAATTGCCGTGGCTCTTTGTCGTTCTGCTAAATTGCTCGAAATTGTTAGAACCATTTTTTATTTCAGTTTGCCGTGGAATGTATCGTCGAAATGAAAATGGCCGGCGCGGAGTGCGCCTCGTTAAATCGGCAAAATTACACGAGACAGAGGGGCCGTCCAGAATGATTTTACATCGGCGCGCCGCGCCATTTTAAATAGTCCTCAATTTGTATAAAATCTCGATTTCTCCCAAAGTACCCGACTTCCATTCGAAAGAGAACAAATTTTCCCAGCAATTTCTCCCTTTCCCCGTTTCAACGTACATGCGTATATTGTTCATTTTTCTTTGACAGATGGAAGTTACTTTATTTAAAAACAAATTTACTCTTTTTTAAATTATTTCTCGCTTCATTCGAAAAATTGCGTTACAAGTGAAACGAATTTCAAAAAATCGTAAGCTTGTAACACTAAGGAAATAGTTCTTTCAACTTTTCGTAATTGTTGCAAACAGGTTTGATTTTTCTATTTGTTGTTATTAAATATTTAACTGATTAAGTTATATTTCAGATCGAAATCGAAAATTTTATTTAAAATCGTAAACATCATACCCACGGAGAAATATAGAAAAATATGGATGAATATGAAACATACAATTTAT